CTCAAGCCCGCGCAACACTTTGCTAGCGGAGTAGTTTTATTATTTTGATATCTGAAATCTCAAAATAGGCAATATAGGACAAGATTTCAACATTTTGATGGTCATCTTCAAAGTTATATCATTAATACGCCCTTCTGGGGTTTAGCGTCTATCGATGTGATGATAACATCTAAAAACCGTTTCATGTAGCTCTCCGCGTCAAAAAACTCTTTTTAATTATGTTAAATTTATGACAGTTCAGACGACCTTAACAGTAAATTGGATCAAGTGCAACGTATCTACACTCACGTTGACTTCAACAGACTGGCATTGCATTTCAAGCGTAACTTACGAGCTAGTTTCTCATAGATTGCTACACTTTCGTCGCTATAGTAAATAAACAATTTTGAAGCCATTATCACCCTCCTTTGGATCCTAGCGGAAAACGGGAACTAAAGCAACATGGTAGGACATGGATTTACGTTTGCTCATAAATAAATATATGGCGACTTTGCCACGGGCAGGACAACTTTCCCGTAATGCCCGAAGAGTCTCTTTGATCCCAAAATGTATCGGTCGTCCAGATACATAAAACTGCATGGTTGGCAGTAAATCATTTTTGTGAGTCCTGGCATCATGCCAAGAACGTGCAAGTCAGGTACTCGACTAACTTGTTCACTTGTCAGACGGAACCAACGTCCGTCTCTTCGCCACACGTGTCTCATACCAAGCATTAGTTATATTAATCGCACGCGGATCTCCAAGCACATCAGTATCTGGATCGATTTTACGTAGTCTCAGGACGTTCACATTTTACTACAGCGCTATCGTTGGTCTGCACCAATATTTTGCGCGGTTTCTTATCTTTTCGCAAATAATTAAAGTATTGCGCCGAAAGAGCGAGATCAGAACCCAAAGATAATTTGAAATGTCCCAAGGAACGTCTGGCAATACTTTCTTCTACTTTACAATCGGCTATACACCTCGCGCAATTCTTCTGGAACACCAGCTACCAAACTATTACTTAGCCAGTACAAGAAGTTAGGTTAACCTCATCATCTTCAGAATCAAATATCGAGACTTCGTAGCCCGCATTCTGAAAAGACATTTTAAGGTATGTGTTTGAAAGTTAACAAAAGTGAAACTTTTTTCCTAAAGAATTTTATATATTTTTTCCTTGAACGTCAAGGACTTGTAAAAAGAGTTGAAAGAGAACCGGGCCCTCGACTTGGCAACAACAAATATACAGGGCCTCGAATTTACAGAAACAGAAACTCATGCTAAATTGTTCATGTTTTACAGTAGAATTTTTTTTTTTTTTAGTTTTTTATCGTGTATTAAAGAGAAATGCCTGTAAATGATAAAAGGAGAGAAACTTGACGATGCAGATCTCGTGGTGACTCACGCGGTTTAAGGCTAAGGCAGCCCATTCTTCCGCTGATCCGTGATAAACAAATTTTTCATTCGAATCCTTGCATTTAATATCGGGTGGTTTGGGCCCTTTTGGTGCTAGAATGCCACTGCATGTGCCTTTGTGGCTAACCATACATCTAAGAAAACATCGAAAAGGTCGGATTGCGCCGCCAGTGTGGTTGGATATAGAGGTATTTGAAGAAATTAAGGAAGCCGAGAAGAAATCAAAATAAATTAACGAAAGAAGCACAAATTTTCGTTTCTAAGATTTTTTTCTTTTTTGGTATGAACTAAATCCTTTACGAAAATGCCGAGTGAACGTGACGTGATTGAAACGCAAACAGTGATGAGTACACTTGAAAAATTTCAGTTTACGCAACAGACAGACAACAATTGATTACAGGCTAAGATTAACGTTAAAGATCTACTAATAAGAAATTGACTTAAACTATTTATGCTTGCTTTATATTGGCGCATAATGGTAAATAGCAAGCCCTAAGCCTTTACCTTCTAAGTGAGATAACCTAGTAAGAAATGTACAAAATATTTGTACACAGATCACAATAGTATTGAAGGCGTAAAAAACGTGATTTGTAAGAAATACAAAATATTGGATGAAGAAGGAATTAAGGGTAAAACTTTAGTTTAAATCGAAATCGACATTATAGTCAGACATGGCCGACCAATAGCGGAACGGAACTTTTCATACCAATTTACAACGTTGAAGTACTATTACTTTTGTCGACAAATTTTGAAAATTGTAATAATTTCCGACCTTTCAGAAAGCGGACCGATTCGAGCCATTTCCAGTGGCTCCTAGCCTCGGGTCAAAGCACGACAGTATACTAAATGTCGTCAAAATATCTCAAAAATTAGGTTTATGTTGAACAGAAAATTACATGGTAAGACCTCAGACGGACAAAGCAACAGACACACTTAGATATTCATTCAGAAAACAATTCTAAGTTAATCGGTACAATAAGAGGTGGATCTATTTTCAGTCATTCTGGTTGGTACACATACACAACATAATGTACGTAAGACATACATACAGCCATTGCGACGAACAATTGACAATAAACAGTAATAAAGTGTCAAACGTGAGAAAATCCTGCCTCCCGTTGCTATGACAACAAATAGTAACAAAGTGTGAAATGTAAACATATTGCTTGGACACAGAAATATTATTTTTACTCAACTCAGTGAATTATCTGTTGGTTTGCTGAATTGCAGAGGAAGAACGATAATTATTAGAAAATTCGTTAGCAGCAAAAATTTGATGTAAGCTATAGACGTGGTTAGCAATTAAGCTAACAGAGCTACGATTACACTAAAGAAATGTGCGTGCTAAAAACCTTATGAAGACAACCGGACAGACGAAATTTACTCACCGGACGGACTGATCTTATGCCCAGGACCACGTCAAAAATCAAAAAAAATTTGTAACCCGAAATAAGAAATTTTTATATATCAATTGTACGAATCAATTCAAAAGAAAGCCTCGAGTCAGATAAAAGTCCAATATCTCCTTTTTTTTGCTAAACATAGTCTCTTACATGTATGTGAACATGGTGACGGTTAGAAAGAATAGCGTGGGGAAAGAGCGATGGGTTTTAGCCGTAACCTGAGAGGTGTACGAACACACGAGGAGCCGGAAGTATGGGGTTGAATTTTGATACTTGTCTTCCATATACCCGTTAAACGTGTCCTATTGCTACACGTAAGGAAGACGCGTTCCAAGTTTTAATATCCCACACAACGTACGCGGAAGTGAAATGCCAATAAACGTGCATTCAAAATTCAGGTCATCGTTTACACATTTTCATTCTAATCTGTTCGATCCCGTATATCTTTCTTTCTTTCTTTGAATGACTCCAATATGTTTTGATTGCTTAAACCCTTTGTGAATGGAAACAATATTTTTGCATTCGGCTTGCGAGTCTCATTCATATTCACATAAAAAGCATGATTTCTAACTAAATTGATGGCTTCACAAATCATTTCCCTTTTTTTAATATAATACTTTTAGCCGCTTTTTTGTTCTTCTAGTATAAATTAACGAAAATTGCCTTTTTTTCGGGTGTGCAGTGAAGTTATCTGCAAGACTGTAGATTGTAGCAATGTTACTATTAGATAGCTTTACAAACAGAACAATCGAAATCGAAGATTAAAGTAATTGACAGAATGATGCGTTATTCGTACTTTCGGAAAGCGACTGAAATTTTGCCGAGTTCTTGCGAGACTCTATGACAATTTGCAACTCATTTGACTTCGTATGCAACTAAACCAAAAGCAGAAAAGGTAGAAGAAGAGCTCAAGACAATGTGATATTTATTTTCAATTTAAAATCACGTAACTGAAACTTACATACAACAGAGAAAGCTAAATTTTTCATATGCGGTTATCCGCATAATTTTCAAATCAAAACATTTAAGCCATTCTTTGGCTTTATATAACCGTGCCAGTGAAGTTCACTTCTATGTTCCTTTTGTTGAACTCATTTTCCTTCTTCGTTCCTTCAATAATCAACCAAAACTTTAATTTGTTTTTCTTATATTCATGTTGATTGCTATGTTCATTTTACTTGTCGAATTACGTTGTTTCTGTTCACATTTACATTGACTTCATTATCATACCATGCTCCACCTGTGGTAGAAGGGTATATTAAGCACTTGAGACCGATTCGCCTTTTGCTATATCAATCGATTCCGAAAGACTTAAGCATCAGTCAACAACTTTTTTGACCACTCTTCTATAAGGCCTTATTTTGGAAAATCATTGTACATTGTATCAAGCAAAGTGGTCTAGGGAGTAGGGTAAAACTTAAGCGCACTTAAATCCACAAGGCAAGGGAAAAGAAGGGAGTAATAAGTAAACCTAATCAAAGATTTTTAGTTACGGATTTTTCTTCGCTACGCACATCATATATAATACATTTTATGAATTCCAATGCTGTTTTACTTCTTTGCATTGATTATGAAATTTTTTTAAATTTAATTTACTCTTTATCTTAAAAAGTTGACTACGCCCACCCAACATTATAGTGCATCAAAATTTAGTCGGTTTTTCAATAACTTTATAACGCGCAGAAACAAGCTTCAAAAATCCCCTAAAGTATACAAATTCTTGTTCAGCTTCAAATTTGGAAGGCACCTAAACATGTCGGCTTGTTCGTCTGTTGGCGAATATGAAGATATCGCCTACAAGTTTGCAAAAACATTTGGAAGTGACATAAACTTTTCTAAGGACCCGCCTACAATGGCCACTCGTCTACGCTACAAAAACTCTTATTTTGAAAATATATATTTTGAGCATGAAATTTTAGTTCTCTTGCTGCTTTTGCTTTTTTTTAAAATAACAGTGATGGGTAGAAAAGATTCTGTCACGACCGAATATAATTTTCTTACTTGTTATTTTTGACAGATGTGTGAATTGTATAGACTTTAAATCATTTGTATTTACTTCCGAAAGCGAAATATGTTGGACATGTATTTCTCTATAGCAACATTCGAAGATTTATTATTTTAAGGCGCGTATTCGTTTTTCTTGAAAAGAAACGAAATTAAAAAGTTTTACATACATTTAATTTTAATTCGAAATAATAAAATATGGATTTAGATCCTGAATCTAATACTAAAGTTGAAAGGAAAATTAAGCTTTGTAGCGAAGACGAAATTTCGGATATGTCTGATAAAAGGAATGAGCAAGAAAGTGCGACAACTTCCGTTGCAATAACTAAATTTGATACTGGCAGCCGATTGGCGAGACCGATTGCTGGCACGCAGGACGTGGACGTTGAAGTGATTGCACCTTCTCCTAGACGTTCGTCGACATTGACTTTATTGACGACTCACAACGATTATTTGAGCGATGCCCTATGGCGTGTACACCAGAAGCACATATTCATTTTAACTCGTGAGGGTAAACCTGTTTATACGTTGCATGGCAAGGAACAAAACTTGTCCTCGATTTTTCATATAATACATTATTTGGTTAATTTAGCTGCGAGTCGCCATGATGAGATTGAAGCGATTGAAGCGCAAGGAAGACGATACGTGTTTTTGGTGCAGCCTCATCTTATTCTAGCGGCAATATCGAGAACTAGCTTATCTGTGGAACAGTTGAGAATGCAACTTATTGATATCTACTATCAAGTTCTATCCATCTTAACTTTTTGCAATACAGAGAACGCATTTAAGGAAACTAGAAATTACAATCTTGGACGTCTGTCGAATGGTGCCGATACTTTAATTCATAGGTTAGCAACTGTCGATTACAATGATCGTATAAATAAAAATATTTTCGCATTTTTGACAAACTCGGTACAAATTTTACCGCTGCAGTCCTCGATCCGTTCATCTATAGAAGATATTATTAAAAAGGATTGTAAAAAAGTGCGCTTTTTAATATTTGCCATATTAATAATCGACAATCAGCTTGTAACCCTGATCCGTAAGCGAAAACATTCAATCAATTCGACAGATTTTAGATTAATATTCAACTATGTCGAAACTTTGACACTCTCTGAAGGGGAATCTGTTGAATCTAGGCCATTTTGTTTGCCAAGATATGACGCAGAAGGCTACCTGTATGCACATATTTCTTACTTGAGCAAAACCTGCCCGGCGTGTCTTCTATTCCTTTCGTCGAAGACAGATGACTTTTGTGATTTAACGGCGATTAAAAAATCTATTAGCAACCAGTTACAAAAAGGTGAATATTTATCGGCAATTAATGGGGCGATTGCAAAGATAAAGAAATCACTTCTAGACCCGACAGCAACTGGAATTCCAGAACTGAGGCATTTTCTCTACAAACCCACATATTTGCAGCAATTGTTATGCGCTGAATTTTCAAAACCGTTTAACACCTTTGAAAAGTTTCGATATTTAGAAGACCTTTATTGTAAACTCTTCGATCGTTTACATAATAGATATTGTCCTTTGAAATTTGTGTACGAAGCTAATGAAAACGAAATAAAAGTTGGCTGGACTTCAAATGAACACGAATTGTATGCGGTATTCGATCCATCTCTTGAGCAAACCACAGCTATGCAGTATGCAAACAAAATCGTTAAGTGGATTCGACAAGAGTTTGACACACTTTTTATCTATCAATATCAAACGTTTTGAGATCGCTTTTGTTTTTCTAAATTTTTTCTTTTTTCATTTGCAAACTCTTGGCTTAATCTCGATTTTCGAATACAAAAAATCAAATGTGATTAAAACGATTCGACAAGGATTTATTTATATTTCGGCCCCTTTATGTACGTGTTTTACATTAATAAAGAGCTAATACATGTCGTGTTACTTAACTGATATGATTAATGGCAAAATCTTTTATCTATAGAAGAAATTATAGTTTTTTAAAGACTATGTGGTTTTGCAAATTTGTATACCCACCACCCTCGTGATACAGGGTACACTTTGCTTCAAAGAGGACTTAATAGAGTCCTGAACTTAAGACACTTAAGAGAGTATGAATTATTCGCTGTTTTTGTGCCTTATCACGATAGAAATGATGTTGTTTGTTAGGTAAATAAAATGATCCAATATTTTAAACGAAAGTTTAGTGCGCTCTTCATAAAGGTTTAAAGGTCTTCAGTTTTGAACAGTTCAGAGTAAACCCTTTCGTCTGAAATTATCAAATCAATTTAAACGAATCAAGAACAAGAAAAGTTAACTGTAAAGATACTCCTTTATTACACATAAAGTTTTCCTTTCGTACGCATCACTGAAGGATAAGATGTATATTTATCTTGTCAAAGCGCTTGCAACGGCCTTCATAGACCCCATAAAGTGTATATATTCTTGATCAGCGTTATATTTAGAATCGACTTAAGCAATTCCGTCTGTCCATCTGCATGTAATGCCTCTCGCAACAATTCTTCTAGCCGCAAAAATGAAGCTATCGATTTCAAATTTGTCAAAAACATCAGTAGTTCTTGCGCACAA